CCAAAACCGATCAAACAACGTAACAAAGATAATAAGGAAAGACCAAAAAATAAACCTTTTGAGCCTAGCATAAGCTTGGGCTCTGCGCTGCTGAATGGCGAGGAATTTTCGAAGCAACTGGAGGGTTCTGAAGGAGTAATCGCTTCCGTCCTCAGTGTCCATAGCCTCCTTTATTGAAACCTTTTTCTCAAAATCCTCCATTATCTACCTCTGATTTTTTCACTCCCATTTCCCTCCCTATTCTACACAGGAGCTCTTCAATATATTCAGCAATCTCATCCTTTCCTCATCCTGTCTCTAAAAAAGTAACAATAAGATTTTCTGATGTTATATGTAAGGGGCATTATATGCATTAGGGGGTATACTAATGTAATTAAATAAAACAAATTAATTTTAATTTTAATTTTAAAAAAACAAAATAACAATACCAAACCCTAAGTTCTTTTTTAGGAACAAATCTTGTTTTCTTCAATTATTGTTAGTTAATTGTGTTTAATTAACAATAAAAAAAATTTATATGTTGTTAACTTAATAATTTTGTCAAATTTTGTTTAACAACATACAGAAAAAAAAAAGCGTATAATACTTAAAAAAGTTAGGTAAAACTTTATTCGTATAAATTGTAAAAATTTTTCTCATCTAACTTAATTTAAAATATATATATTATGCAAGAGTTATTTAATTGAGATTTTCTGAATAAATATGTAATCGTTTAATAAAACTGATGATAATATAATCTAAAAAAAAATTTATAAAATAACTAATATTTAAAATAGTCAGTAAAAAATTATTAATAAGTGTTAAGTAGTAATTCAGAAATGAAGTTGAAAGGTAAATCCTAAGCAACAAAATGTTTTGCTCTAATAATATAGCCAGTGTTGGAAAACCATTTTAAATTAATTTTTAAATTATATCAAGATTTAGAAGTACAAAGAATCTCTTCACTAAGTTTATTTATTTTAGAGTACAACTTGTTAACGAACTCATTAGATATCGTTTGAATAATTGACAAATATATATGGTACCGAAATTAAATGGTAAAATGAATTGATTTAAAATAAGATAAAAGAATTGTTAGATCATAGTGATACAATTTTATTATAAACGAACATAAAGTATAAAATGTACCGCTATGTTAATCATAGTCACATGAATTTACACAGAAGTAGTAAGTGATTAGTAGTTGTAAATGATTGTTGTATCATTTGTGACATCATAATTGCCTAGCGATCCCCATTGAAACATAGATTTAGGAAAGGATTTTTAATATTTTTATTTAAATATAATTAGTTCTTCATATCATTTTGATTATGATTTCAAGTAAAAAGTATTTTGTTTAATCTCTCATCCCTAAAAATACTATTTTTTCATACTAATGTGTTATCAAATTCTTCTTAATTAAGAATAAATTTGATATTTATAAAGAAACAGTTAATTATTTATTTCATCATGGTAATAAAAATATGAAAAATGAGTATTTTATCAAAAATCTCATTGATGACTATATATTGAGTAGACAAAAAAAAGATGAAAAATTAGAGTTATCTTTTGTAGTACACAAGTTGACCAGATAAATAAGATTACGATGGCATGATGATAAGTTTCTTAGCCTATTTGATTATGAATTATGTACAACATATCAATCATATTTCAAAAATAAATCGAAAATTCAATTTATAAAAAATGAAAAAACATTATTAGTGCAATTTATATTCAAGTCTACATATGCATGATAATTAATATTAAATGAGATCTTTTATTTTATAATCTTTAATAGCAACTTTTCTAGATTTTCGACATATATACTTATTGAAATATAAAATTGAAGCCTCTGAAAAATTCAAAAGTTTAGAAATAAAGTTAAGAAAAAAAAAACTTGATATGTATCAACCTCTTCTATCTAAAGATAAAAATA